AAAACTGATTTACTATTGAAAATTTCTATACCAATTCCTTAGTTTGAGTTCAGTCACACCCGAAAATGTGCCCGAATCCCTCAAACCAAGGCTCTGATACCAACTTGTATCATCCCAAAAACACAGTCTGAAAATTTCGTTTCATTTAATAATAAAAACCATAGTCAATAAACTTCATATAAAAATCGTAAACAATGTATCTCAAAATATTATAACAAATGTAGAGTATGTTAGAGTATACACATCCCAGGATGAACAAATGGTGTGTGCACTGCAATCTTCCCGAGCTCCTCTTTTGAAAACTGAGTACCTGAAACCAAAACTGAAACTGTAAGCACGAAGTTTAGCGAGCTCCCCCAAACTACCACAAACCATACAATAACATATAAAGCATATACTGGGCCTTGCCCACTGCATCAGACAGAAGTCCGGAACTAACCAGGGCCTTGGCCTCTGCATCGGACCGGAGTCCAGAAACTGCATCGGACCGAAGTCCGGAACTGACTGGGACCTTGTCCCCTGCATCGGACCAAAGTCCAGAACTAACTGCATCGGACCGAAATCCAGAACTGACTAGGACCTTGTCCCCTGCATCGGACCGATGTCCGGGAACTGACTGAGCATAACATATCATAGCATAAACATATCAACTAGCATGAACCCATAAACTGCTTATTGCATTGGGCCGTAGCCCGGAACACATAACACATAAATCCTGTCTGAGCCACAAAGGCATCCAACATACTAACTACTGCATCGCGCTGAAGTCCAGGAACTACTGCTAGATAAACGGGTCGGCATTGTGGCCTTAGACCCGTTCATACTGGAAGGAAACTCACCTCACACTGCTGAAGTCCCGCAGACTCAATCCTACACTGCTTAAGTCCTGCAAACTCGACCCCAGCTGCTAGATGACAGATTCCTGATCTGTCAACATCAAAATAACACTCAATTAATAATTGGGTTCCACTACATAACTATAATTACATACTTTAGATAATTACTACATTACCCCAAGCTTGGCTTACCCAAGCCCAAGGTCCAATCCATAGGCCCAAAGTCAACTAGGGATTAAAGCTCAACATATGGTCCAATTTTTCAAATTGGGCCCAAACGTCCACAAGGACTTCCCTTAAGGCCCAATTGCTCAGTTCGGTCCAACATGTCTCATTCTAAGGGACCAATACCGTACAACCATCTAGGCCCAAACTATGGCCCATCTATGGCCCAAGTGAAATTAGGGTTTCTCATAAAATAATAATTAGGGTTAAGTGTTTCTCACTTAATCCATTAAGGGCTTAACCCACTAAGGACTTAATCTATTAAGTTATTTAATATTTCACTTATTAAATAATTCCCGTGTGTGTGTCTTGATAATTTCTCAGATATTAGTATTTTCTCAATTAGCCCATTAAGGACTTAGTCCATTAAGTCCTTTAGTCTACTAGATAAATGGCATGAAATAGTTTGGGCTTGATTCACAATCCAATCCCAATGGCCCAAAAGTGGGTCCAAATAAGTCCAAGGCCCAAATACTCATAATTAGGGTTTTCCACCCAAACATGGCCCAATAGGCCCAAAACCAATCTCTAAGCCTATTAGGGTTTGCTAGCGGGACACCACCCACTACCACCTCAGGTAGTGGTGGTTGATGGCAGCTCACGGCGGCGGCCACCACCCTAAGGTGGTGGTTTTCCATTTCTTTTCATTAATATTTTGGAAATTACAATTACAATGCTTTATACACACACACTAACTAACTAACACACACACAACCACCCTAGTGGTGGCCGACGGTGGTACAAGGCGGCAGCCACCACCTCACGGTGGTGGTGGCGACAAATCTTGATTTTCCGGCTTGACAAAAACACTCAAATAAAATAGGTACATCCACACACACTACACCATTTGCCTGGAAAAGCACGTAGCCACCCACCTGTGGCGTTTTGCGGTGACAGCCATAACTTTAGGATGGCAGCCACCACCTTACGGTGGTGGCGGTGGTTTCCCTCGCTTCCCGTTCAAACTGCCACACCCACGAAATAACGCAAACCACTCAGACTTGAAACAATAATGCAATAGCTCCTACGTGAACACGAACATGGAGGCTATAACACACGCGAGAACCACCCTCGGGGTGGTAGCTGTCGACTGGAGCAACAGGCAATGATCGCGACTGATTGAAGCACTGAATCGACTGGTGGCGGTCGCAACAGCTCCGCTCGTAAAACCCTCACAGCCCCGTCGCCAAAACCCTTGATCTCTCTCTCTCACTCCCGACGGCAGAACACAAGGTGGAAATTTTGTTGGCGCTAGATGGTCAGAAAACGGACGAAGAGGATAGCGGTGAAGATGGTGACGACAACCCGATGGCAAGGCGGCAGGCGGTGGTCGTCGGGACTCCAAGTGGGAAAACCGGTGATGGCGGCTGGAGGAGTGGAGGGGGGGGGGGTAGGGGCCGACTCTTCTTTAGGGTTAGGGTTTACAAACGAGTCATTTGAATATATATACACAGTCCTTATTACAACTTTCCCATAATTACAATCCTGGTCCCTCCTTCCTTCGTTTCTTTCAAAATAAGTTCATATTTCACACTTTTAACCCTGACTTCCGAAATCTTTACAAACTGAATCCAAAACTTACATTTAAGCCCTAATCCCATGAATTTCTTTCATAATAGATCCCTAAATTACCAAACGCACCTTGACTTCTGTAATTATGACTTTTAACTCCTCGAAACTAACACCTCGCTCCATTATTATTCATTTTAGGGTTTGTATACATTTATTTATTTATTTTATAAACGGGGTGTTACACAAAGACCTCATTTTTATGAATCATCTCCACTAGAAACACTTAAAGGGACAAATATTAGGCTTTGGAGTTCAACAACTCATAAAGCTTCAAGCTTTGGGACCAAAACCCCTAAAATGGACCATAATACGCACACATCAAAAAGGATGAGAAAGATCTAAGATTTATACGTTCAAATGATGCTCCAACCACATAAAAGCTTAGATCCAAAGCCTGGACTCCAACTATATTCTCTTCAATGCTCATTCTTCACTCAAAGAATCCACAAGAGCACTTAGAAGCTCACAAATGGTCACTCAATCTCAAGTGACGAAAATTAGGGTTTTGAGAAGGTTGAGGGCTGGAAATGGTGGCTAGAAATGAGGCCATCATGTTCCTTAAATAGGGACACACCCCTCAATTAGTGTTTTCACTCTGATCCTATTACGTCCATCGTACTCTCTGGTACGCTCAACGTACTAGGTGGCCTCCACATCTAGATCATGCACATGAGTACGTTGAGCATACGCATGCATACGCCTCGCGTACTCAACTACCACCTTTTCTCAAATAAACGGCCAAACTTGACAACTACAATAAAATAAGGGTTAATGAGATGTGCCTATCTCTGGATGTTACAATTCTCCCCACTAGAATTAGACTTCTCCCTTGAAGTCATCTTCTGGAAATAACTCTGGGTAATGCTCATGCATCTCAGACTCCGACTCCCAAGTCCACTAAGGCCCCTTCCGATGTTGCCATTGGACTTGAACCAAGGGCACCTCTTTATTCCTAAAGACCTTCACCTTCCTATCTAAGATTTCTATTGGCCTCTCGATGTAATTCAGACTCGCATCTACCTAAATGTCCTCTAAAGGTACCACCACCGTCTCATCAACTACACACTCCCTCAGCTGGGACACGTGGAAGGTGTTATGAATCTGGCTCAACTTTTCAGGCAACTCTAATTGACACGCTACCTTCCCCACTCGGGCGATCACCCAAAAAGGACCAATGTATCTAGGACCAAACTTTCCCCACTTCCTGAATTGGATCACCCTATGACATCCCAAAATTTAGGTTTGAATATATAAACGATCAGTTCACCGCGAACCTTTTTGTATCCTGACCGATTGAATTTTAATGCCTACTTTAGTAGAAATATAACGTTATTTCAAATAAAATAAGATATGAAATGGTATCTTATCTCAAATTATGAAAATTGTCGAACAAAACGTAAAGCACAAACTGTAACTCTAGTTAACGACTGAAAAACTGAAATTTTGTACCAAGTGTGTGTAAACAAAGAAAATGTTCTAGACTCGTAGTACATGTTTCCCTGATCACGGATATATAAAGAACATCAAAAATGGAGTTCATATGCAAAAGATATGTCCATTTTAAGATACCAAAGCGATGTAACACTAACTTTATCTGATTTCGTAAACCGTATTGGTCAATTGAGGCACTTGTACACCTCAGATAAAATTTATGAGAGCGTTTTTGAACTTAGAATACGGTCTAGTTTTTTTTTATTTGCTACTCAAAATATTTTTAATTAAAATATTTATAAAAGTCAGAAAAATCGAACGTTTCAGATCAATTAGACGCGGAACTTCAAACGCAATTTCCCGGAGTTTTACAGCTCGGAAAAATATTCCGTTCGGGTTTTTAAAACCCAAGGATTAAAATTTATCATTCAACACAATTGGAAAAATTACGCGACATCAAAAATCCAAACGAAAATAATTTATAAGGTATTTTAAATACCAAAAGAAATATTACACTTTTTGGTCAAAGAAAAAAATTATATATATATATATATATATATATATATATATATATATATATATATATATATATATATATATATATATATATATATATATATATATATATATATATATATATATATATATATGAGATATCACCCACGTGATTTCTCTCTTTTACCGCTCTCTTCCTCTAATGTCCCTATACTTCTTTGACTTGTGAAAGTCAAATGAGTTTATTAACAAACATGTCAAGTTACTTTCCTTCCGAGTCTGACGGTAATATACGAAAATATGAAGCTTTTGTTTTCTTCTTCTTAAACCTATTTCAAGCTTCATCACCCAACATCATAAGAAAGGCTGTGTACAAACACTCCAAACTTTTGTTATTTATCTGTTCATGAGTAAACAAGACCACCTCCTTGGGTTTCTTTTTCATTTTCTGGCAACCCAAACCACCACAGTCGGCCACCACTGTCTACTTCCACCATTGTTAGAATAAACATCACCAGCCTCCATCTTTCCCCTTGGACCGTGACTAGCACCCACTACCGAGCTATTGCCAAGGAATTCCGACAACCAGCCACCATCTCCGCTCCTTCCTTCTTTTCTGTTGACCAAAGCAGGAAACCCCAACAGTGGGGCTGCCACCCACTGCCGACACGAAGCAACCACCGCCACCTTCTTTCCACCGCTGACCCACCCTATTTCCGCCACCACTGTTGAAAGTCCGACCACCACGTTATACCCCTCCTCTCGGCTGAAAATCACCACCAAATACCACTTCCATTTGTTTTCTCCGCTGATTTGGACCAGAACCCAACCTAAAACCAGGCGGGAAGAGGCTGTCGAAGCTGTGCCACTCACCTACATCCCCGCTCACTACCATCGTTGCCATTCTCCGACGCCATCTCTGCAGGTAAGTCATCTCCGTCCTCTCCATTGTTGGTGATTTTATCACCAAATATATTTCAGTGTAATGGACTTAACAAGTGTTTTAAGAACAATGTTTTAGTTATAATACAAGTTAGGAGGTGTGGAAGTGCACACTTGTATTTACTAAACATTATTAGTACTGAACCCTAATCTACTGTTTTAGTCATTCTTTAAAAGATGAAAACTGTTTTTTAATTTATCCGTTGTTTGGATAAGATAGGTAAAAACGGTATATAGTTTTGAAACACAGAGAAAAACGTGAAACGCTTCTTCTTCTTCTTCATCTTATCAAAATTGATTATGATTTTATGCCTAAAATCAGAATTGTTGCTTCAGGAATTATCCCAGTTTGGATTTCGTGATACCCAAGGCATATAGGGTCGAAATATCAAACAATGAAAGTGTTTACACGATTCCTGTTTGTGATCCAGATTTTCTATAACCATATTTCGAATTCCCCAACATAAATTTCGTTTCAATGACCCACTGTCGAGCATACAACCGAGAACTAAGAGACCCAACGAACGGGTCTCATTCCAGTTCATGTACCTGTAGCGAGAGAAAGAAGCCGACACTGTGTAAACTTTTATCGAGTTCGTTTAAAATAGACCGTGAAGAGGTATCAGGTTACCAATCAGACCTCGTCTTCCAAACTTGAATTCAAAATAAACAGAATGGCCCGTTCCATGTAAATTCCTAACAAACTGAATCCAAACTCCTAAATTGTCATTAAAATAATCAGGAACAACCCCTTTCCTCAAAAATTTTAGCAAGATAGGTACAAAACTATAACTTGAGAATATGCACTTTCTGCCCTTGTTTTTGAAATAATTTATAAGATCAATCCCTTGTTGAAAACTTTTAGCAAGATTAAACCATAGAATTTAATTGTTTTAATAAAAACCACTCCATACCTAATAATTAATATCAAAACTACCCTTTTGGTTTTTAGGTAAAATTAAATAGAACTTGTGATTCCTTTTAAGAGCACAAAACATCACAAAACGACCTTCGCAACAAATTTCATCCTCAAGACTCGTTCACGCTTCAAGGGTGAGTGTTACGGCCCCTTTTTATGTTTTAATATATATATATATATATATATATATATATATATATATATATATATATATATATATATATATATATATATATTTTGGGGGGGGGGATACATGTGAAATATATATTTAAATATATTTTTCGGTTATGTAATGTGTTTATAATTATGCCGAATATATATCGGCTATGGAATACGCATATAAAACATATATCTAGTTTTAATGCTTAATATTGTCAAAATAATATATTATAAACCGATTTCTTTACGATATATGTGCATTTAAAAATATTATTAGTCATGTGCATAATTTATTTCACTTACATCGAGCATGTACAAACATATTTATCAATTATATGTGTACAATTTATAACAATTATATATTGGAAATCATTCATGCATGTGAAGAAACATTTTATCTATTTAAGCGAGTGACATACATTTTTACGGATTTATCGAACTTATTCAGCTTTTATAGTGAAACTTTACCGTATAACCTAGTTAATGGCCACTATAGTGAGATAATATTCATTACCTAAGTTTAAACACTTAGTATTCCCATTTAACTATAACCGTTAATCCTCGGAGCGAGATACGTATGTATAGATCTATACGGGTTGACACCCCCACCCGCGGTTGCTAGTTAGAACCTCGACTGATCAATCGAAGCGGGTGCATATTTATCTTTAGTATAACGACGACGTCTAATGAAGTGTTGTGCATGGATTATAACTGGTCACATAGCTCAGTTATAGGACTCACTATAGGCATTAACCAGACTCTTTAACTAGAAACCACATATTCGGTTTCTCTGTTTATCAAGCATTTTAAGTATGGACTTACTTATGGTATAACTCTTTATCAAGCATTTTAAGTATGGATTTACTTATGGTTTATCTCTTTATCAAGCATTTTAAGTATGGATTTATTTATGGTTTAACTCTTTATGAAACATTTGAAGTATGGATTTACTTATGGTTTAACTCTTTACCAAGCATTTTAAGTATGGATTTACCTATGGTTTATCTATTTATCAATCATTTAAAGTATGGGTTTACCTATGGTTTATCACTTTATCAAACATTTTATGTATGGATTTACTTATGATTTATATTGTTAACAAATATTTCAAGTATAGATATACTTGTGATTTAACTCTTTGTCAAACATGGTTTTAACCACAAAAGAAATACTTTCTAGACTTATAAAGTATCATTACCGCGGTTAGCAGAAAACCTGTAACTCTCACCAACCTTTGTTTTGACCGTCAAATCACATGTATTCTCAGGAGATCAGTGAACCAGCCTTTAATAGAAGATTTTTTCATGGATTTTTGGGTAATCTAGTCTCATTTAGTTTTTGTTATGCCAACCTACTTGTTAAGGTGAATTTATGAACCTATTAATATATGTATGAAACTTGTATTCGAACTTTAAATTTCAATGTAACTGCTATGTTGTTATTGGTGTAACTTGTGATGTATATGCAATTTGCTCGAGATCTATGAACTAAGTCACACAGCCCGGCGTATTCCACCGCCTCGGCCGGGGGTGTGACACACCCCTTTCCACGGGGATACCTTCAGGAGGACAAAATCTCCGACCTGGAACTCTAGCTCAGATCGTCGCCGGTCTGCATAACTCTTCTAGCGAATCTAGGCCGTCAGTAACCTCTGTCTGACTTGCTGAATCTGCTCGGTCGGCTTGAGCACTATCTCAGTGCCACCTAACACTCTTTTCCCTACGTCTCCCAAACGTATGGGAGTCTGACATCTCCTCCCATATAAGAGCTCAAAGGGAGGCATACCAATACTGGAATGGTGGCTATTGTTGTATGAAAACTCAGCCAAGGGCAAATAAGAGTCCCAACTTCCACCAAAGTCCATAATACATGCACGTAGCATGTCCTCGAGCGTCTGAATCGTCCACTCACTCTGCCCATCTGTTTGTCGGTGGTATGTGGTACTGAAGGGAAACCGGGTACCCAACTCCTCATGAAATTTCTTCCAGAACCTGGAAGTAAAGCGCACATATTGATCTGAGACTATCGATGTCGGCACCCCATCTCGTGCTACCACCCCTCT